TGAACTGTTTTTATCTATAATGTGGCGCAGAGAAGATGCCGGCCGCAATCTCTCGTTATATACAGGAAAAAAAGGAACGGAAGAAAGACGGATAATAAAGCCGACTTGTGTGTGCTCTCGAGAGAGTCTTCGAAACGATTTTATAATGCTCTTCGAGAGCGAGTTTACTTTCTGTGTGCGCGGGCCGGATCTATCTATTGCGAGCGAGCCACGTGACCTCTTAATTGGACTTTAAATAGTATAATTCCTTCTTTCTTTCAATTTTTTTATTTTCTTAAATTAAGATCCGAAAACAAATTACTCCGGTGCTTCTAGCGGAGTTTCTCGGTATACGCGAGAAGGTTAAACTGCCAGGATATAGGTTTCTTAAGGCTGGCAGCGGCAGGCAGTGCACCGGGGCAATTTTTAATCGTATTTTAATGAAATTCGACACGATGGAATTCGCAGTTTGAATTAAACTATTTAATGAGATTAAATAACATAAGTGTGTTGACCCAGTTGACTATATACGCGCCAAAAGAGTCTCTCCCTCATTCTCATTCTCTCTCTCTCTCTCTCTCTTTTAGTTAAATAATACAAAAGCGAAACTGCTCGACAGTTTTACAATAATGAAAAGCTCGGCAGCGGCTTGCATTACACATTTCGCTAATTTGCTCTCGGCGAAAGGGCGAGTAGACTAGTTTAGCTCTTTTATAAATATACATGATATGAAAGAGCAGCGTATTTCTTTATCAAGTGCAACGCAGCGCAGCAGCGGGAAAGCTTTGAAAGCAAATATACGAGGCACGAGAAAAGCTCGAAAGTGTCGAATTTATAATATTTTGATTAAACGATCACATTTAGGGAGAGCGTGTAATTGCGGCGCGCTTGCAGCATCATTTATCATCATCATCGTCGTCGTCGTAAGCCGCCTAGAAAATGTTTTAATTCGATCGGTCTTATCGAAAGTTCAAATCATCGAGCTTGCGAGCGAACGGAGACGCTACTCGAGGTTGTGTCAACTAGTATAAGTCGGCAGTGACAGAGAGTGTGAGAGAAAGAGAGAGAGGGAGAGGGAGAGAGAGAGAGGAAAAGATGCAGCGAGCACACACCTATGAAAAATAAGCCGCTAATCTCGACTCGACCTATAGCCTCGGAAAAAAAAGGAAAAACGACAACGACGACGATGAGCCGAGAAAAAATAAAGGATGGAAAGTAAGCTAAAACAACACGCCCAGCTGGTGCTGATGCTGCATCGCCGAGAGACACATACGAGAGAAAGAGTGAGAGAGAGAGAGAGAGAAAGAAACAATATATACATACAGGTATATGAGTTTCAAAAAAAAAAAAAAAAAGAAAAAAAAAGACATCGGAAGAATCCGCTCTCGGTTGTGCGCTCGAAGTTGAATATATATGGCACTCGAGCATTAGTATAGATATACGCGGCAGCGGCAGTAGCAGCAGCAGGAGGAGACTCAATGTGCACCCACACCCCGGGGGTTAAGTTATATACAGCAGCGGATGGGCACGTATATAGGTATAGAATACGTGCGCAGTAGTAGCAGCAGCAGCAGCAGTAGGTGCACGCCACTGTGTGTACGTGTATAAATGTGTACGTGTGGTTCCGTGGGTGGGTGCACTGCTGCCAGTGCAGACAACATATACATGTAGGTGGGTAGGTAGGTAGGTAGTGCGCGCATATATATAGATAGGGAGCAGCAGGCAGCGCAGCACTAGCCCACTGACCTTCATTCGAAGCAGCAGCAGTAGCAGCCGCGCAACCCCTCTTTGTCCGCGCGGCGGTTCTCCCCCCTTCTGGCACACGTCTGTGTCTGTGTGTGTGTGTGTGTGTGTGTGTGTACATAAGTGTGTGCGCATTGCCATCGCTGCTACTGCTGCAGGCGGGAGGGTGTAAGCTCGCGCTCGAGCTTTCGCTCGATCGAACTATCCCTGCGCGCCAGCTTGTACGTGTGCGTGTATACATGTATTTAAAGCGCTGCAAAGGAGACCCTCCTCTCCGTTCATAACCAGTGGCATATATAAAATGTAATGTACGTTACATTATACATAGAGCCAAAAAGCTCGCGACAACGCGCTGCAGCTGCAGCAGATACGTGAATGAATGGTTGACTACAAGACGACAACGAGGAGGAAAAATGAAACGACGCAGAGGCTCGCGGAGAGAGAGTCGAGCTGCTTTTGAGATATCGCCAGTGTAAGGTTATTATATTATATGCCGTACGGTCGACGCGACGCGATAAGAGAGATTACGTACGCGTCTCGGCGCAAGAATCGCGTATGCCGCCGACGAGTGTGAAGAGAGAGAGAGACACAGAGGGAGGAGGCACGGTGCAGGCAGAGAGCTATGCGCCCGCCGTATACACATACTTTGCTGCACCGAGAGCTGCTCGCACGAGTACCGCTACTTTTTATTTATTTTTGGTGTTTTTTTTTTATGCGCTGTCTGCAGTCAAGAGCGAGAAACGTAACACAACAACGCACCTTTGGAAAAAGAGATTTCACGGGTATGCATGTCATTTTGCTGCAATCGCGCGACTCGAGTTACTCGCGGGTTACATACACACACACACACCCATCGAGACAAACTGCAGCTTTGTTGCCAGCTTGCAAAAGTTTTGTCAGCGTTACGCGCGCACACGGTACAAGTAAAGTAAAGAGGGTAGAGAGGGGGCGCGACACTTACCCACATTTTCGCGTGGAAATGTCTCGCGAGAAGGAACGCGACAGCAGCAGCAGCATCAGCAGCAGTATAATAACAAAAAAAAAGCTACTGCTATATGTATGCACGCACTGCTGCGCACACACATACACGCGTGTCTCTTTCTGTACGTCTGTACGTAAGGAATTCGACCAAGACGAGATATTGTAAGGTTTGCGTACGTGTGTGTGTGTATAGAGTATAAGTTGCATCGCTCGTTGCAGCAGCAGCAGCAGAGTCGCGCAGAGAGGTTGGGAAACTTCACTCTCTGTACGTGCACTCCATGTACGTGTGTGCATGTGCTTTTTTAGGTCAAAGAGCGCGAGCGACGACGAGCGCTGCTGCCTCGTGCTTGCTCGCCTGCCTGCTGGCTTGCGCCGCGTCAAGCATCGACTGGGCCTCTCTCGCTCACTCACTCGCTCGTACTCTTACTCGGTGGATATACGACTCGCTCCGATTATGTCGTCGTCGTCGTCGTCGTCTCCTCACCTCATGCAAAATCTATATGGTCTCGCGCTACGTAATGTAATATATAACTTGTGCGTGTGTAGGTATATTATCGTAATGCCACAAGTGTATACGCGGAATGAATGTCGCGCGGAAAGAAGGAGAAAGAAAGAAAGAAAGAAACAGAGGAGAAAGAAGTATGGGGAAGTACGATCGGTATACATACAGATTTGATACACACACACTCGAGCGCCAACATTATCATATACGAGGAGCGAGTCAACGTTCGAAGCGTTTGGACTCGGCTCGGCTTTATAAGCTGTACTCTGCTTAGCTGTGTGTGTGTGTGTGTGTCGCTCGCACGTCGACGTCGACATTCCGTCTTGTGGCAAATTGTTTTCCATCTGTGCGGCTCGCGCGAGGCAGCACACATCAGCGAAGCGCGGAGAGTAGATATATATATTCGCACACGTACGCGCCTGTGTATGTATTTGTATATTTCTTGCGTATCGTAGTATATATACGGGCTGATTAAGCGACGATGACGACGACGGCGAGGAACACTTGCACGACACGCGCTCCCTAGCTCGCTCGAGCTACATATACATACAGAATCATCGTGTGCTTGCATTGAGATTGCGAACTTGCTTACGCACCGATATCGAGAGTGAAAGAGAGAAAGAGAGAGAGAGCGAGGCTCGCTAGATTCGCTTAGATACATGTTGTATCCAAGTGTACGCACATGTATACACAATGCGCCACAATAGCACACACGCTTTAAATGCTCAAAGAAGAAGTAGTAGAAGCAGAAGAAAAGGAGTAAATACAGCAGCAGCAGCAGAAGTGGTAGAAGAGGAGAAGGAGGAGGCACACGAAACATATTTAAATATATGTAACGCGCGCACGCATATGCTGCACAGAAAATAGAGAAGAAAAGAGAGAGAGAGAGAGGGAGAGACAACATTGGCGAGTTCAAAAATATAACAACCACCCTGCTGACACTGCTACGCACACAGACTTGTACTCTATCCACTGTAGACATAAGCTCGCTGCTGCTATATGTACAACGCATAGCCGTAGCAGTAGAAAGAAAGCACAAGTGCAGCAGCGAAAAGACAGCGAGAGACAGAGAGAGAGAGAGAGGGCGAATACGTAAACAATCGATCAAGATTTTCCTTGGGGCCACGACCCAGTACATGTGCGTGTGTCTATATGATTCTCTGTGTGTGTCTGGGTATTGTACACACATAATAACAATATCACAAGTGTCGTCTCTCTGTCGTCATAGCTCGACATAACCTCAACTCACTGGCTTTTGCTGCTGGCTGGCTTTGCTAGCTTGCGAGCCTCGGCCGCAGAGATAAGAGCTAAAGATTACAACGGCAGCAGCAGTGCGCAAAGTTACGCGACTACAATAATTGTACATCCGAGAGACAGCAAAAAAAAGAACTGCACTCGTACTTCACCTCGTAGCTGATGCATTTACACGGGCAGTGAAAGTTGTCGCATAATATAGGGAATCGCGATCGAAAAAAGCTTGCGCTACTGCTGCTGCTGCTGCTTACTGCTAGTCTCTGAGTCATGTACGTGTATATGTATGTATGCGTGTATGTGTGTCGACGGTGTCTGACACGGTGGTTCAGTAGTGCGCTATGCGCGCCTCGCGCTCGAGGGGGGTACAAAGAGTGAAAGGGGGCAGCTTTAACTAACTCAATAGTGCGTCGAGGGAGAAAGAGAGTGGCGAGGAGAGAGAGAGTAAGATGTATACATAAGCAAAAGCATGGGCTTTGGGGGATTCGTGTAAATAGTAGTATGAGTAGTGGTAATGGTAAGAAGTAGAGTAGATGGTACTGACCTGTTCCATAGTGCGATCGCTTGGTCGAGCCGTTCTCGGCGTCGCAATCCAGTGGTCGTTTCCTCGAGTCGGCTATCTCCGGGGACGGACACGTCTCCATACCCGAGTCAGCGGCCATCTTTGCACCACCACTCACTGTTGACGACGACGACGACGACGACGACAACGAGGAGACTACTCTCGACGACTGGTGTTGGCTGCGCCTCTCTGGCACTGCCTCGCACTCGCGAGTCGGGGCTGGCTCTCGGATATATACACACTATATGTAGGCGCCTGTTTATGTGTTGTCGCTATATATATAGCTCCACACTATGTGTGCGAGTGTTGGCTATATATATAGAGGAACGACGACGACTAGGCGCTCTGCGGCTGCAACTTGGACTTTCGAGCAGTCCGCGCTCTGTTGCCGTAGTCGCTACTGCTGCTTCGCCCGTGTGCGAGAGCTGCTGCTGCTGACTTTTCTGCTCTATATCCCCGTCTCTTTTGCTCCTATTGGCTCGAGCCAATTTTGCGCGCTGCTGTGCTGGCGAGCCTCGGAGGTTTTAAAGCAGCGCGAGCGACGCTGCTGCTGCTGCTGCTGCTCTGCTGAATATTCGCTGATGGATAGCTAGCAACGAATACTGTCGGAGCTGCTGCTGTTGCTGCCTGTGCTTGAGCTGGCTGGTAGTATTCGCGTGTGCGCGCGCGCGCGATCGAGTCACACTACGGCACTGCTATATAGATATATTCACACAGAAACAGAGGCACCTATATATATAGCTATATAAGCGTGTGCGAACTGACTCGTATATATATATATATATACGTAGATACACACACTCGACACACTCACACGGATAAAGACACTGCTGCTGTGAGGCACACGCACACTTTTAAAACACACACGGAGCTGAGCACGGAACTGAGACTCGCGCGACTTTATATCTGTATTGGTACACACACGCGGGCGCAATTTTATATACGTGTAGATACGAAACGTAGATTGTGTGTGTATGTGTGTTTATATAGGTGTGCTAAACTCGAGGTCTTGCGCAGCAGAAGTGTGCGATTGCGCGGCTCGATCGCACGGCTCTTCGCTATATGTATATCGAATGTGCACACAACACTGTATGTATCGCGAAACGCGCGCGATCTTACATTCCTTCTCTTGTTCTGCTGCTGCTGATTTTACTCCTCGCACAGGGATCGACTGATCGTCCGCTTGGGCTGCTGCTCAAATCGGCAGTACTCTATGTGTTGACTCACGGGCAGTAGTTGCTCGTCTGCTCGTGTGCACGTCGTCCAAGTACAAGTACGAGAGAGAGAGAGAGAGAGAGAGATATTGTATAGCTCTCTCGGAGCAGCGATGTGTTGCAAGGCGACGAAAATTTTATATTTACCGATAACGCGCGCGGCCGCAGATAAGCCGAGCGCGCGCACACACTGAACGATGTTTAATGTATACACAGACACACTCACTCGCGGCACTAGAGCCTCGTTTTGGGCTCTCGGCGACGACGACGTCGATGATTATTATTATTATTTTATTATTGCGATAGGCTGCACGCACTCACTCACTCGGCAAGAGAGCGATATGAACGATTAATGTAATCGCTCGCGACTCGACGACTTCACCGACAATGAGACACTCTCGCTGCTGCGGCGGCACAAATACTTTCGCCGCGAGCGAAGATCTCTGCGAAGCGCGTCTTTATTTTCGTTAGCTGTGGCTGTCACACTGTCATCGGCGGTTCGAGATGCACCACAACACACGAAATTTTCATCCAAAGCGCGGCTCTTCTCCTCGTTGCGGATTTATATAACGATCCGCTAATCGGTGTATTATTACAATAACTGACACACGCATAGGCTTGTTGATCTTTTTCTTTTTGTCACAAGTCCTCTCAGCTGCGATGCGCGCGCGTTGCACGTAACGCACGAAATGTGTTTGTTATTTCTTTTGCACAAGCACAGCCGCAGCCACGAGAGGAGGACTGCTATGTTTTACACACACACACAGACACAGAGAGTGTGTGGACGAGTGGAGCGGTGGGGGGAGGAGAGAGATGGAGTCAGACAAGCAGTGGTTTCAGTTTATAAAGAGAGTGACAGTAGTGGAACGCGCACACGTGTGCGAAAATTGATGCAATGGATTGCGATTCGAGCGCGATAGAGACAGAGAGAGCCGAGTTTTACAAAACCGACGATGCTCTGTTGCAGTTGTTGCTGTCGATTGTTGTTGTTGTTGTTGATTGTTGCGTCGATTTCAATGCTTTTGATGCTGATCTGAGATTCGATGGCGATTTATATTTATACAGGATGAATGCGCTGATTGTGGAAGCTGATTTGTTGTTGTTGTTTTTTAATCTGTTACAATGCACGTGTGCGCGCGCAGTACAAATTTATCAATTTGCCACGCTCTGCGATGCTGAGATGCAGGAGGAGGGCCGAGGGACGCGCGCCAGATATAGAGAGATATTTATTTATATAATTTAGCGAGAGAGAAAGAGAGAGAGATTTATAATGTTGAGGCGGGCGACGATGTTGGCATGTGGTGGTGGATGATGACGTTTGGTGGATATATACTGCAAAATGCACAGACAATCATAATGTACAACTTTTATAATAGAGAATGATATTTTTTTTTATTAATATAAATATATGATTCGCGTTAATTGAAAATTGATCGTGATCGGATGATCGTGACTACGTAAATAATCTAACATTGTTATATGCACCTATATCGTACACGCATACATACACATTTTGTTTTATACATAATAATATAAAAAGTGATCGTTACATTTTTGTGTTATATAGAGCCGCGATACCGATGCGGATATTTAACACGTGTATTATATCGGCGATCGCGGACGATCACCAACTTGTTTGCACGAGTAAATGCATGCTGTTGCGCGCGCGGCACATATCGAGAGAGAAAGGCGTTCGCGGAGCGCGCGCGCGCGAAATATATCTTTCTTACTTGGCACTGCGAATTACCGTACTGACTTATTATATTATTGTAAACGAGGCTGCGTTACTACATATACGCTCCGACGTCGTGTCTTGTACGATATAATATGCATAATACATATAATCAATGTATGTGTATGCGTGTGCACACATGTTAGATTCTTCTTTTTTTTTATATATTTATAAAAGCAAGTGGCAAATACATACACGGTATATGTTTTCTATCTATTATATAGATATATAACGTTTTTTCTTATATGTACATATATCACGTATCTCGATTTTTACGTAACACACGCGGGCGCCGCGGCTGTTACCGCGACTCACTGGCGACTGGCTGACTCCGAGCTCGCTCGACTCTATGCCCGCGCTGTTGTCGACTGCGAGCGTTGTTGTATCGTGCAGTAGCGCGCGCGCGATTCGTGCGGCTAACACACACGTACACACAGACATACGAATAGGCATCGACTGCGTGACTACCACCACCTATTCCTCCCGCATCTGTGTACGTATACACACGTAATATAGGCAGCGGCAGCTCGTGTTTTTACATACAGTAATAGCAACAACGTAATATCGGCTCTCGACGTGCGCAAGCGCGAAAAGCCCGCGCCGATACTACTGGCTTTATGACGTTCGGGCTGCTGCGGGTGCGCTCGTCGTCGCTTGGCAGCCTCTCCGCGGCATTCGACTGCGATACAGAACTTGGCATATTGTTTGCGCGAGCTCGCATTGTGTGTGTAGGCGAGTGTATCGATGGTTTTAATGTATTAATAATGTGCAACTGCCAAGTTTCCATTTTTCGAAATATAATGAGGAATTAAAGAAAAAGCTTTGACGGCCGAGCTTTCGGACAAAGACGAAGCTTGCGGCCAAAAAAGAGATCGGTTATATATGACATTGGTATAGGCTGTGTAGCACAAAATTCATTCTGTTTAAACGCGAATGTTTTCGATCGGCATTATGTATACGAGCACTCGGTGGTCTTACGACAGCATAATGTCACGAACGCGCGGACGATTTAGCGCGTGTCGACGAACGATAATCGGAATTTGTTCTTTTTCGCGCCAATTTGCGCGAGATATATCACACTTATATAAGGAGCTTATCCTTCGGTCTGTGTGCTTCTAATTCGGATTTAATCACGTTCCGCGGCTCTGTGTATGCATACCTTTTGAGGTGATTGATTAATCCCGCGCGCGGTGGCATTGACTCGTAAGTTTGAGGCGCACGATCGAGTCATCGATTGGACTTTATATAGAATATAATAACGCGAGTTGCGTGTCCATTTTAATACATGTGAAATTTCACTCTTGGCCATCGCCCCTCCTCCCCCCCGCGAGCCACCTCGCTGATGCCGCGTACACATTATATTATAGTTTCCGAGGCCTCGGCCGCGCACTGATTCTGCTAATTTTATGCACCGCGCGTGAATTTCATATTGCACAATTTATGGGTGCTGCTGCGTTACAAATGATGAACGCGACGAGCCGACCGAGAATTGCTTTATTTCGGCCTCGTAAAAGCCCGAGAATGCGCCTGCTGCAGCATAATGCCAAATGAGCTTTAATTAATCGCCCATTCGGAAAGTTTAAATGCGAACAACGCGTGTGTATGTGTGTGATTCAAGTTGCACTACTATAACTTGATTTTCTTTGCCAAGGTTGGCCAAACTCGAATAGACGCGTCGAGACCTGCGAAACGAAACTATAATTCGCAGTAGCATAGATACATAATGTATTATGTATGCACGAAAAGTTCAAACTCGACTTTTCCCGCCTTCCAAATAAAAAATGAAAAATTTATTGAATCCTTCACAAGTCGAGTCTTCGCAAAGTAAAGTTGAAGGTACTTACAGGGCTACTACTACGCTAGTACAGGAGCTCGAGCTGTAAGAGTCGTGCGGAGCACGGCGACAAAGGTGATTTCCCTCGTGTCGAGAAATCCGCCTTTCTGGTATTACAAAGTTTTCACGTATCCAAAGCTAAAAGGGGGAGGACGGGGGAGCAGCTGCAAGCTCTTCAAAACCCATTAGCGTTTACGCAAGTGTTAGTGCCTTTTAATAGTCTCTCTCGCTCGCGCACACACTCCTTCTTATGCCTCTCTTTGGCCTAGGCCAACTGCTAAAAGTATATATGAAGCTGCACGCGTTTTACAGAAGATCGTCGATAGGCCGATGAAAACTATACGTCTAGACACGCGGTGTATTGTATGCGCCTCGCGCGTCGATACGCGACGATGTTCGACGCACAAAATGCGTAAAAATATCAAAATTCGTCTACTTTTGTGGTTATCGACTCGCTGTCTATACGTATGAGTGTGTTACGCGAGGCAAAAAAAGTTTATTTTTACCAAAGCATCCCAAAAAGATCAAAAAGTCGCACTTTGAAAAATTTCGCACGTCGTCTGTCAAGTATGGCAGGCAAGCTGCTGCGAACGACTCATATATAAATTGTAGAACTAATTTTCAAAGACCGAGAAGACTACATTTTGCTCTCATTTAAATTCTACTTAAGTGCAGAATAATGAAATTCTTAAAAGTATGTCAAAATCCTCGATAAAAAATGAACCATGCGATACATTTTCAAGACTCAAAGTATAAGTATATGAGACTTTTTTTAAAACTCATGTTAACTAGTTGATCTTATGCGTTTATGATTTTATTTTGAAAAATATATATCAATTAAATTACTGTAAATATTTATGATCAAATAAATAATTATTAAAGTATCAAGTAGGGAACATTTTAATGTACTCGCTATTTGAAATATTTTATGGGTATGTTAGTTTGTCTGAAAACTCGAAGGAACATTATACATTTGATCTCATTAAAATCATAGCTGAGTAATTATTGATTTAGAATTAACAGTTTCAAGTACGTTTTAGGGATTACAGAGTTAAACATTCAAATTATTAGGAGCTGTATAAGTTACTTGATTCTCAATAATCTTTCGAAAAAATAATTATTACAATTAAAAATACATTAAGAAAAGAATTAAAAAAGAGTAAATTATAAATACTCTGATCTTGAAATTACTAGTTTTCTACCACTAGAATTCTAGTTTTCCTAATTACTCGATAATTATAATTTATTTCCATAATATCATATACGTGAGCATTTATTGGATTAAAATTGACAAATATACAATTTTAACTTGGTATAAAAGCTCGATACGAAAGCTCACACGCATAGAGCTTTATACATGTCTATATGTGTGAACGTAAACGTACGCTAGTTTGACGACGTGTGCAGGGATGCCACACGATGCCTCATTATGCCGCAAGCTCAGCGAGAATTTCTCGCGCGCGCGACACTGATGTACTACTGTTGCTGCTGCTGCACACATTTCGTCGGACACAACTCGGCGCGTGTGCCCCAGTGCAGTGCGGCGAGATGATCTATATGCTTATATGTACAAGTGCATAGCCCGCAGCTAATATAAGCGCGGTAGGTAGTGGCCACGAACGCGCACGCGGATAGCTCTGCGACACGGCCAGGGACGGATTTCGTTTCTCTATCTTACTCGGTGTAATGTTGACTCGCAGTTAACCTTAGCCTTCTTTCATTATACCTTACACTCGATATCACGACATCGTGTGTGTGTGTGTGTGTGTGTGTATGTATGTCTTGGTCCGTCTTGTATGCACACACGTGTGGGTATACTCGTGGCACTGCCGCAGTGGTCCGAAAGTTTTTTTACAACTTTTGAAGCTGGAATGTTCTTTCATATTTTTCTATTTTCCGCTGACGCGCGTGTATGACGTAGCGCGGTACGCACTCGTGTTCCAGTTACCCGTATACACAGAAACAAAGTTATTTCTTTCATCAGTACAACAATTTTTGCTCGAACTTGAAGCTCGGATTACCCTGAATTTTTAGCTTTGCAAGTTCAAATCGAGCTTGCGCGTTAAGCGTACATGGCTCACCGCAGCAGCAGCAGCTGCATCGAATTCGCGCCAAAGCTTTCAGTTAAATTGCGTCGAAAATCTCGCGTTGCATGCGCGCTGATAATATGTATGCGCACAGGGAATGGCTCGCGAGGCGTGGAATTAGCTCGAGCGATCGCGTCGAGTTGTGCGCGCGCGTGTAACGAAGGTATATCACACGAGAGCTCGACAAAAAAAACCTTCAAAGTGCCAAAGAGCCTAGACACGCACGCACGCACGAGGAAGAAGGCAGATGTTGCAAGCCTACTACGAGCTCGCGAGCCTCGAAGACAAACAAAAGTATTGATTATATAGCATTTCTAAGTCGGAGCGCGGCTCGATGAGCGACGCGCCAATCATGACGTTGATGATCATCCCAGATATACTCTGCATATATATTGCTTGACTTTCGAGTGCATGTGTGTGTGCGCGTCGATCGACAATTTTGCTGCGCGCTGCACGCGGCACTCTAATTGGCTCTGCGCGCGATTAATTATCCATGTAAATGCGCTCAACGCGAAACCTTTTAGAGCGACGGATAATGAATATTTTATGAAAAGGATTCGAGGTCGTTCAAGTTTGGAGCTGCGGCAGCGGGTTGCGGGATTATTGTTTATACATTTAAATAAATCGGGGTCGGTCGCGAGTCGAAAGATCATCGTGTGTTTTTGCCGCATCGTACGATATAGCAATATCATCGCAACGATCGAGGAGAACTGCACTCGTAATCGGCGTAGTTTTTGCAGCTTCCGTAGATAAAAACGCACACACATACATTGTTTATATCTCGTGGTTCGAGCAGTCGGCCACCTCATAAAATATTATATGCGATTGACAAATGTTGCCACGAGTACACGAATGATTACTTCAACCCGAAGCTACGGCCATGAATTACCGATGCGTATAGAGTAATTTTTTCTAATTCGATTCATCGATCTTATGCGTTTCGCTTGAATGGGGACTTGTGTTTTACTATTAACGAACTACAAACTCGATTAAAAATTTCGATAAGTAGTGGATACAAAGCCGCATTAGGATGGGAAATCTCAGCTACGATATACACGCGCGCATACGTATAACATTATAAATACCGAAAGGGGCCAAGGGAATCATCTCTCGCTATATAAGTATAATAGGCGCGCTCGCGGTCCCCCACGCGCGAATCACCTCGTGTGTTTATAAGAAGCGAACGACACCAGCGCTGAGGACGAAAAATCGATATATGGCAACACACGCGCTCATCGTACTCGGTTCATCGTACTTTAGAACGATGCCGAAACTATCTCGTCTCATACGTACAATTGTACTTCTATATATACAACGACACATACAGACATACACATACGTGCAAGCGAAGAAAGAAAACAATACATCTCGTTGACCGGCATGAAAACATGGCTGCACCCCCATAAATACAAACATTACGTATCATCGCT